GTTTGTTTGTTTGTTTGTTTTTCTCAAAACATTATTGGCTCATTTCACAGTACATGTCAAATTCACCTATTATGATAGAAGTCAAAACAAACAAATAAAAAAATCAAAGAATGTAATTTTTCTTGAAGAAATGTCTGGTTTTTTTTGTTATTTGTCACACTGAAAGGCACAGGAAATCCCCAGGTTTCCAAACAAAACATTGCCCGAATCATTACCCAACCTCTGCCAGCTTAACTTCCACCCACAGACTGACTTAGTGTCATGTTTTTTTCCTGGATAACAGACATTAGCCCAGTGTGAGAGAAGACATGATTCCTAAGACCWGGCCACTTTGTTCCATATATTGTTCCACATTTCCCCACACCAAACTGTAGCTACACACCTGTAGCTAACACCTGATATAGACTTTCTTATGTTTTGTCATTTTTAAATATTGACCCTTTGCAACTACTTTTGTCACCTGGCGGCATGGCAGATGTCAGAAGTGAGGGAGRGGAGTGTTGAACTGAACAGAGCAACTGAAATTATTTTTCCAAATTGTTTTTTTGCCAGTATAAAATACCCTTAAACCGCCAAAATACTTTAAACTTACATCTCTGATCCCTATCTCCGTATTTAAGCAGAACATCCAAAACACAACCACTGACGCCTGTTCCTGTTGACAATTTCGAACACACATTTAAGCATTTTCTTTTCTCATTTTCTTTTTCTACCTTCCACATTTATTTCTTTCATGTTTGTGTTACGCTCGTTGTTGTATATATTGTATGTTTTTATTCATTCATGCAGCCTATTGGCCAGGTCATGTTTGTAAATGAGAAGTGGTTCTCAAACAGTTTACCTGGATAAATAAAGGTTAAATAAATAAAATAAAGTATAGTCATGCTGTTAAAGTTGAACAAATGCGTCTGTGGAAGTAGCACACCTAGTTGGGGCTCATTGTATTTACAAAATCTGGACATGGCTAACTAGTAAAATAGATGAGGATTAAAGTTGTCTGTCAGCAAGCTAGACTTCTGTCATCTGTAAAAATAAAAAAGGAAAAATAAATGCAGCAGCAGGCAGGTTGGCTCTGAAGTGTTTGCTGTAAGCACTCTGAAACTGTTGTAATCTTTCTGACAGTACAAACTCTTGGAAAATTATAGTGACGTAAAGCGAGTAAAAAGAAAATGCAATTTATATAAAAACACCATCTACAACCATTATTTAATAAGTTGAAAATGTATGCTTTTTTGTTTAAATATTGCTTGGAGGATCGTGTGTGTATGAATGAATGTGTGTGGATGGGTTTGTGTTGGTTTATCGGAAGCACCACATGTCTACAAACTCTCTGCTTTAGGACTAGCTGTAGGAGTTTACACGCTCATTGGTTGTTTTGACACCTTTTGAAGAGCGAGACGTTACGTGCAAGGGTAGTTGCTCCTCTCTTGGATCAGACTGAACATGCAAACATGACTACAATAAAATGTTTTAACTGTTAGTGTCCCTATATTCTTACCAGTTCATCAGTTTTCCCTTTGTTAGGCCAGTCACAGTGAATCCCATGTATTGTAAACCCAGTATAGAGATCATAAGCTGAAGTTACAGTTAGCTATGATATTGCTATGATTTAGCTCTTTTGCAGTCACAGTCTGTGGTTTGTCAAGAACAAATGCTCGACTTACTGCTTAATATCAGCCACCCGCGGCTGGGAAATGTTACCCTCTATAAACGAATTGTGACGTTTTATTAACAAATTAATTAAATAAGAAACATTTCATTTTCAAATCATCCTCCAGTTGATGAAACAAAACCCAAGTACTCACCTTTGTGAAAATAATRAACTGAATTTATGTTTCATTTCTAGTTATTTCGAGACTGAAATTGTGTTACAGGGTAAACTAATTGTGATGAATAGAAATTTAAAAATACCAATCATGAATATACCTATATATCACTCAAAATGTATTGTAAAGCCTTTTAAACTTTGTGAATAAAGTTGCAGCACTTTGTGACAATTTTAAATRTATTTTAGAAAAAAAAAGAACTGTAAAATATATTTAAGCCTGCGCCAATTAAAATTGTCTCATTCCTTCAGTATTTCATTATAAAAGGTTTATTGGAAATGGAATGGGATTTATCTCCCATTTCCAACAATGCTTTCAGCAGCTGCTTCCAATTATTTCATCATCCAAAACTTAAACATACTTGTATTTCTTGCCTTAATTCCAAAATCCTGCATGTGATTTCCATGTGCTTCTCTAGATTGCTCAACCAAAAGTATGTTTATCTTTCCCCGCCACCATTACAACCTTTTCCCCTGAAAGTGTAATGCTGAGAATGAATGTGCAGAGACCAAATTAAAGGACCCAATTTGAAGCGGCACCACTTCACTGATAAGCTGTACCAGTGATCTGTGAGAGCACTCAGGGTCTGCTACATTATGACAATACAGAGGAATAAAGCAGATGAAAGAGAATAGTCTGGCAGCAGCAGAAATCAGATGGGCAGAGGGAGAGGAAAAACAATCTAAAGTCTAATTGTGTTATGCCTCAAGGTAGCAAGGGAGTACAAAGAGACACATTTTTTTCCCCCCTTTTCCACACGTCGTTCAGCACAGTCCCTTTCTCAGCATGATCACATTAATTTCCAACCGGTCGCTGTATTCTTTTAGCCACATTTTCCCCGAGTGCATTTACTGAAAAAAAGAGGTTTAAAAAAATGGTGGGGAGAAAGAAAAATGGAGTCATACGAGCTAACCAGAAACATACAGCACTGGCATTGAGGTTGTGCATTTAAGCATGTTGGCAAGATTGGTCTGACACCTTCCAGGTCATTCTGTCATCTTTGTCCTTTGGGAGAAAAAATGCTATTTGGAAGGCTCTGAGCATTTAGAAGCAATATTGAAGCCAGTGGCAAAGTCATATACTCCGATACAGTATTTGTACATTCCTGTTTTGATATGTTGTATTCATGTCTACAGAGACAATTTGTTGTATTGTAACTGGATTTTTTTAGAATAATTATGACACCAAGAACATAAAAAGCAGACATAACAAAAAATGGCAACATACAAACAAGTAGTCTATATCATAATTGCAGATTTGCTGCCAATCCATTGATATTTATTCATATCCCTGTTTAAAATGAAGTTATTCTGTACCAATGACTTATAATGTCTTGTACAAAATGATGAGACTATGCCATTTTATTCAGAGGCATTTACTGTGCATTTACATTTTAAATATCCCTTTTTAAATGTATCTGTACATATTCAATATTTGTTTGTTTGTGTGTGTGTGTGAGTGTGTGTGTGTGTGTGTGTAATGTTTATGAAGTTTATTGTCGTTTGCAGAAGCAGATCAAACAATCATCAACCATTCATCTAAAGTTTAGAGTTTCAAACTACCTATTAGAGATATAGTGGAGCAGACATATAGTTTAYAAACAATCTAGCAAAAAATAGTTTTACAATTGCATTTTAAAAATAAAAAAACAAATATTCTCACTTACCTAATGGACTTCTAAGAGTTGGATGTTCCTACACTGGTGCAGAATCAGAAAACGTTCTTTAAAAATTCCCCCGTGTGACTTATTTCACAGGTCACTTACTCCAGGGTCTGAGAAAGAAATAAAAGAAATACAAATCAGAGAAGACATGGAGAGTGAGCTCACTGTTTTCACTGACTCAACCACCACAAATGCCCAGCGATCCAGGATAAACATCCTTGAAGAAATGTCAGTCCAAGGAAGAATATTACCTAAACCACTTGTGACGGTTTACAAGGTTTTAATTTGTTTGTTTGTTTGTTTGTTTGTTTG